GCTCGGTCTCACGGCCGCTCGGTCTCACGGCCGCTTCGCAGAGCTCACCCCGCCAGCTCCTGCTGGATCCCCAGTCCTCTGCCCCGAGCCCTCAGAGATTGCCCCGCAGTGCGAGCGGCTCCTCCACTCTCTGGTTTCTCCCCGTTTCCGGTCAATATATTTAAACTTCTTAACAACCACGGCTTCGAGACGATCCAGGGTTTCATCTATTAAACTCTCCGTGGGCCTGAGACACCTGAGTGCTCATTACGCTGTGGTTTGGGAAGCTCTCTTAAGAACAAACTGTTAAAAACCCCCACCTGTGGATTTTTTGTCCCCGTTGGCCACAGGCCCGCTGTGGTCTTGGGTGTCAGGCACTAAAAGGACAAATCGTTGCCAACCACTTTCCTTTCTGGAACCTCCTAACTGCCTGCACCTCCCTCCCCGCTTCACCTCCCAGTGGCATTCAACAAAACTGTGCTTTTTTTGTGCTGAGCCGTTTTCAGTGAGTACTGGAATCCGTGAGAGCTGTGCCCTTGTTTTGAGTTCTTGCTGAACTGCTCGCCCTCCAGCAAGCCTCTGGGGAGAACAGAGCGCAGCTGAGAGGAGCAGGGGTCCCCAGCTCCTTCCTCGTTGGAGCTGCCAAGGAGGTACCTAAAGCGCCCCCAGTCTTCACCAGCATTCCAGGAGGTTTTTGATATAAACGATGGACACTCAGTCTTTCTGCGAAGTGCTCTGCAAACTGAACTTGAAAGCCTCTCTTCCCAGGAACATTGGCCTCTCCAATGCAGACATGGAAGTTGCTTTCACTTTTTAACTGAATGTATAACACTGCAGCGTGCAATATTCTACATGTCACATTGTGGTTCTTTTGTGTTCTTTTTTCTTAGCATAAATCCAGGGATTTACAGGGTTGCTGACTGAAAGCCAGCAGTTCAGTTCATAATCCCATCAGCAATGTAAAGAACTCATTCTCAACAGACTCTTACAAGGATAATTATTGCAAACTTTTGAAAAATTAAGTGACCACAAAATCGGGGGGGTGGAGAGTGGAGAAACGTCCTCCAATCCAGAAAAACCTAGCACTGCTTTTTGGCCTCTCCTTAGTGTATTATAGGCAAGTGGAGCATTTTTTTCCCTCAAAGGTCATATGTTGACCTGACAGTTGTTTAAAAAACAATGAAAAATCTTTAGAGCAGAGTTTTCCCAAATATTTCTGTCTTTGTTCCATCCTAAGAGATGCAGTTTACATGACCCATTTGTTTTCCTGAAAAGGAAACAAATGCAGAGTGCACTCTATTTCCTGTTGTATTTAATTTCTTTCTTTCTCTTCTTTTCTTGCTTTCTTTCTTCTCTGTCTTCTTTCTTTCTTTTTTTTTTTCTTTTTTTTGATGAAGTCTCTCTGTGTCGCCTAGTCTGGAGTGCAGTGGTGAGATTTTGGCTCACTGCAACCTCTGCCTCCCAGCTTCAAACAGTCCTTCTGCCTCAACCTTCCAAATAGCTGGGATTACAGGCATGCACCATTATGCCCAGCTAATTTTTGTATTTTTACTAGAGACAGGGTTTCAACATGTTGCCCAGGCTGGTCTCGAACTCCTGGCCTCAAGTGATCCACCTGCCTCGGCCTCCAAAAGTGTTGGGATTACAGGTGTGAGTCAACACCCCTGGCCCTGATTTCATTTAATTCACTGGTCAGGAGCCACTAAATTGGTTCCATGATCTAGTATGACGATCTGTAATAGTTCTGGATTCTCCAGAAGCTTACTGTGAGACAAGGATTCCAGTGCAAGTAGGTCACATCAGGACACACAGATTGAGGGTTGGGGCGGGCAGGTGAGCAAGCAGGAAGGGAAGACAGCCAATAAATGTGCTTATCTCTGCAGGCTGAAGAAGCCCTCAGGCTCTACAAACTCTTTGTGTGTGTGTGTGTGTGTGTGTGTGTGTGTGTGTGTGTGTGTAGGGCATGCGGGTGGGCAGTGGCAGCAGCTGTACACTAAGAGCTGTCACCCACAGTGTGTGAAAGTCCTGCATCAGAGCCAACAGTGAGAATGCAAACATGTGCCGCAGCAGAGTCCCTTTGAGGAACCTCCTCACTGCCCAGCAAGCAAAGAAAACAAGCAAGTTTCTGGTCACTGAAAGGGGAACCTGAGCTCTGTGACAGCGCCAGTTAAGGAGGACCTGAAAACAAGAAGAGATGTTAGAAAAAAGGCAAGTGAATGGAGCCTTTAAAGAGCAAGTTGACAACTCCACCCTTCCAATAACAGATACTGTCACCTGTCCAGCTTCAGTTTTAAGGAAGTGGAGAGGCTGGATGTGGAGATGGAGATACTTTTACTTCTTCCTGTTTAATTGGTGCCTTTCGTTTCTTTTTCTTGCATAATTGCCCTGGTTAGAACCTCCAGTATAATGTTGAATAGAAGAGGTGAGTGGACACCCTTGTCCCAGTGCTCAACTTAGAGGGAAAGTTGTTAGTTTTTCACCATTAAGCATGGTGTTAGCTGTGGGCATTTCATAGACAGTCTTACCAGGTTGAGGAAATTCCTTTCTATTCTGCTTATTGAGTGTTTTTATCATGAAGTGGTGTTGAATTTTCTTTTCTTTTTTTTGAGATGGAGTCTCGCTCTGTTGCCCAGGCTGGAGTGCAGTGGTGCGATCTCAGCTCACTGCAACCTCCACCTCCCGGGTTCAAGCGATTCTCCTGCCTCAGCCTCCTGAGTAGCTAGGATTACAGGCGCATGCCACCACGCCCAGCTAATTTTTATATTTTTAGTAGAGACTGGGTTTCACCATATTGGTCAGGTTGGTCTCGAACTCTTGACTTTGTCGTGATCCGCCCGCCTTGGCCTCCCAGAGTGCTGGGATTACAGGTGTGAGCCGTTATGCCTGACAGAGAGTAGATTTTAAAAGTTCTTGCCTCAAAAATGATAAGTATGTCAGGTAAAGGATATGCTAATTAGCTTAATCTAGTCATTCCACAATACATGCATATATCAAAACATCATGTACACTGTAAATATACACAATGTTTTGTCAATTAAAATTGTTTTTAAATGTTTAAAAAGAATCATTCCTGCTTTCTGACAGCGCCCAATCCGTAGCAATCGCCTGCTTCCTTAGACCTTCCCCTATATTACTCAACCAAAGTCCAAATCCTGTAACAGAATCTTTCTAACACCCCCTTACTGAGACCCCCATAGTTCCATATGGTGTCTATCCTCCTTGCTACAATGAGTGATAAACTCAACTTACTCAACTACAGGTGCATTCCTGTGATCTTTGGCTGAAGGGTAATGACGCAAGAGATATATGCCCCCCTCTCTTCTACACTACTTCAGCTCAATATTCCCCCAGCCCACAGGACACTCCCAAACCCTTTGCCGATGGGTCCTTGTACCTGGTGGGCACCCTTCTTGGTGGAGTATCTCTAAGACTACTCAGGCTGGCAAGCTTCTTGATATCTGTGGGAAACCCATGGTGCTGTGCAGCCTGCCCCTGCGACGTCCCTCTGTGTCCAGTCAGCACAGGGCCAGACGCCAACCTGCCTATTCAGGAGACATCTAATTGGACAATGGAATGGTTGTCTCTTTTTCTTGCAAACATCACAGATCTCTTGGCTCCATTTCCCTTGTCTTCTTAGGAGTTGGGGGGTAGGGATTAAGGGGAGGAAAAAACCTTCTGCTGTCTCCAGTAGGCTGTCACCCCAAACCTGTTTATATGTATGTGTGCGTGGGAGCCTGGAGGAATGGTGTGTGGGGCTTGTGGTGCTTGTGGTAGGGACATGTAGCATTGAGGAGCATTCTGGTTCAATATTTTTTTTTTTTTTGAGACAGGGTCTTGTTCTATCACCTAGGCTAGAGTGCAGGGATATAATCATAGCTCACTGTAGCCTCAAATTCCTGGGCCCAAGCAATCCCCC